CTAAATACTATTCACAGTAAATTAAATCTGCATTATCTATTAAAAGTATTTTGGATTTAACGGTATTTTTAATTAAAATTATTTATTTATTTCTATTTTAATCAATATTTTTTTATATTTTAAAAACAATATATGAAATAGATATTTACCGATTCAATATTATTTGTTAACAATAAATTCAAACACTTAAATTATAAATCAAACAATATAAAAATAATTCACACATTTAAAAAAAATAATGTCAAACTAATTTTAATCCTAAATCGTTATCAGAGTTTCATACAATATATATCTGATGATGCTGTCGTTTTTAACCTAAAAGGGATAATTAAAATTAGGGTTCACTTGGTTTAAAGTAATAAGAATAAAGATTCAGTGAATTGAATGATGACTAGTAAGCTAAAAGACCCCTCACAAGGCAAGTAATGTAAAAGACTTGATTAAAAAAGCAATAATCCAATTAAAATACTTGGGATTCAGGAATATAGTACTAGTAGTTTGATAAAAGGTGGGTGAAATGATTTGGTGGTTTGATTTGATTCCCACTTGGAATTTGGAATATACTTGTATATTTTATAAAGTACAGGAGATAAAGTGTAAAAGGACGAAGAAATTAAATAGTAAAATAGAATGGGAAGGGGCAAATGGAGGGGAAACAAAACAAAGGGGCGACCCTTGGACGTACCGAGAAACCAAAAACTCATGCAGATGCATTCAGCAAACCAGTGGGGCAGGTGCAGCTGTTTTTTGGTTTCGAGGGGCAGTCCAAAATACCATGCACTTGTACGCGGCTAAAACCACTATGCTCTTCTCTCTTCCTATGGTCCACGTGGTGAATGTATGATTCAGGGTCCGTTATCAATACATATATGTTCATTTGAAAAATATTTTTAGATATGTCATTCTATGGTATCATCTTGGAATGCATTGAACTTGTGAAGGGAGGAAAGGTTGAATTTTCTTTGTTTGAAAAATCAAACTCACCAAAGGTAAATAATCAAATGTGACAAGGTTAGATATTTTAGCCAAGATTTGAAATTATTTGGGAACGATATTTATATATAGAACTTGTCGAGATATACAAGATCATACAATTTTATTTCTTTTTTTAAACTACAACACCCTTGATTTCTCTATATACATCGTTTTCCCCGGCAACTTTGCTATCTGATATGAAAATTTTAATAAGAATACGACGAACAACAATGGCTAGAAAACATTAAACATCGATCTATCACTTTCTTCTAAAAGATTAACAAAGAATCCTTGACGTCATAGTTCATCTTCTCTAGGTTAGGCTGCACGGCGAATTGAATCATCGGCGGCGGCCCGCAAGCCAACGCAAGAGTGCCTTCAGAGCCCTCCGGGATGTGATCCCGGAGAATAGTTTCCGTGACGAAACCCAAGCTATATTTCCATCCTTCCCGTACGGATTCTTGCACTACGTACCATACTTTCAACCGGTCATGCTTCTTCTTCGCCCAACCGTCGAGCTCGTCTTTCAGTAATATGTCATCTTCGGTTCGGTTCGCATACACAACGTACATCTCGGTTTCGTCCTCGGGGTCCTTTAGAATGGCTTGGATGACTTGGTAGATCGGAGTGATTCCTGTTCCGCCGGCTAACATTGCTAGTTTCTTGGCAAACTTGGGTTTGCCATGAACCAAAAAGTTACCTCGATCGGTGTATTCGATGTGACCCAAAGGACCCTTCACTTCTAGTGATGAACCGGGTGGGAGAGAGTCCAGATATTGTGACATTAGACCACCATTAGGAAATTTCGGGTGCACACCTTTGAAATAAATCTTGACCACTAGATCAAAGTAGCCAACTTCATTAATGGTGCTAGTTGGGGTATAGGCTCTCATGCAAAGCTTCTCGTCAATCACGGCACACAAAAATATGTGTTTCCCTACTGGCAATCCAAGCACTTGATGTTCGGACGGCAACGCGAATCGGAACCGACGAACGTCGTGAGAGATTGATGTTTTTTCGACGAGTTTGCATGGGATTTTCTCACGTGGTACCAATGCCACCGGTCTTGTTTGCGCCACTTCTTTAATAGGAGCTAAAGGGGGTAGCAGGTTCGACGCCCCATGCATAGAGCTATTAGGCGAGGATGCCGACGAGTCGGAGGTGTAACCCGATGTGGTCAACTCACCGATTCGGTAACTTTCGAGCAAACTCTTGGCTTTGTCCGAGTGAATAGCTTCGAACTCTTCGGTGCAGTCCGTTCCGGCGTTGATCAAAATACTGTCGGTTCCACCGGGGTGATCTTTGAGGAAACTAGTGCAATCATAGATATTACCATGCACGACGATCCAAGCCGAATCAACTGTGTTATGCTTCTTGATCTCGGACATAGAAAATGTTTTAGAGGCAGTGTTCATGAAAGGAGACGACAAACTCTTCTTCAAAGTTGAGTTCGCATCGGCGATTCCCAGGTGTCGTTCCTTAGCCATCCATCCACCGGACTGATTTCCGGGCAAAGTTGGGTGCTCAAAAACGATCCCGATTTCGCCTTTGTGCGGCTTGCATACGTTTGTTTTCACTCGGAACCAGCAGTTGTTCATCATTCCCTGTTACACACGATGAAACCATTTTTGGTCAAATTATAGTTTTGGTCATTGTAATAATAAAAAAAGTACATATTTAGTACTATACTTACCATAACATTCCAAATAAGCTTCTCGGGCTGGGTGTTTAGGGTCTCGTCCCAGGCGCGAACAGCTGTCTCTTTGGCACCCAAAAGGTCAAGCACTTCTACTTCCAGTGACCAGAAGCACCAGCACCAATATTTTCCGTATTTGTTTCCCTTCTCAGGGTGATCCAACGTGCACACGTGCCAGGATTCACCGCCGTCCATTGTTAGCTCCACACGTGTCACCTTCTTCCCACCACCTGTTGTCCATTATTCAAACAAAATGAACAATGTTTAATTATGGGATTATCTTCATTTCCACGATTCTTCCCAACAATAGGGGGAAAAAAGGATCCATTTTCATTGCACACGCGTTCCAATCTGACAACTTGTGTTTGTCTTTGTCCAAAAGACAAAAAAAACCATTTTTATTACAAGACAGCTTTACAGTGGTGTTATGAACCTAGTTGAAAGCAAATCATGTCCAGTTTTAAAGTTCGAATCCAAAGACCAAAAGATTCGATTTTGAAAGAAAAAAGTGTTTAACTCACCCGAATATGCATAGCCTCTCAGAGTGTACGGTCTCTGAGTCGTCCACGAGTTGATCGGCAAGATCTCTTCATGACAAGGCGTCGTTTATCACCGAGTTGATGTTTAACTCATTGATTACGTATTCCGGCTTATACCACCAAGCTGCAAACATTGCATCATCATGTTTGAATTTCCCATGCAAATAACTTTACTGCTTAGTAAACAATAAATAAAATTTTTACTATTATTATTTTTACCTTCAGCGTTGGTTAGCTCTGAATCAACATGAGAAGGAAGGACCTTATTATCTCTATGATGATAAAAATTTTCAGATTCTTTCGTGGTGACGATGATCCGTTTCAACCATTTCACCATTCTCCCGCCAATGAATCCTGGTATGATCATCCGAACCGGGAAGCCGTGGTCCGGTGTTAACCGCTCGCCGTTTTGCAAGTAAGCTAAGATGATATCACGAGACGGGTCCATGGCGAACTCCTTTTTAATGCTGGTTCCGTACTTGGATCCGCCACCTCCGGGCAACTGCTCGGCGCCTTCAAAACACACATTGAGGGCACCACGTTTCTTGCTGAAGATCCCACATCTTTTGAGCACGTCACACAACGGAACGCCTCTCCACACGGAAGTTGAAATCGCCGAAGCTCCCCAGTTGAAACCCAGCGTTGGTTTCGCCATGTTTTGTTCTTTACGTCGGTTCCCAGCGCAAACCAAGGTGGCCGGGAATTCATAACTTTGAAACTCGTTTACGAGCTGGTCCATGGTTAACTTCATCGGCCGTCTGACTAATCCGGTTATTTCGACGGTCCAGTCATCCCAGGAAGCTTTGGGGACGGCGCCGTGGTTACGGACGTAGTGGAGGCGAACCGGGGTGATGAAACCATGGTGCATGAGGCGGTTCAAGGGTGGTTCACTGTTGAAAGGGTGTTTCCCCGTGAGACGGATCAAGGAAGGGTTCCGCTCGATCCAGCTATCGGCGGTGGCTTCGTCTCGGGCGTCCAAGATCGACGGCTCTACCTCGTTGTTGGATTTGACAATCATGGCTTTATAATCGTTGATCTCGTCATTTCCATCTTCGCTGGAGGAATCATAATCATAATCATCATGGTTAACGTAAACATGTTTCACACGGCGGTGGTGAATTGGACCGGGCTTCAAGGGGGTGAAAACGCCGCCCAGAGCCGGTTCAAGCCCCCTGAACTGTCGATTATCGACGGAGGCCGCCATATCTATGAAGATTTTACTTGAGGAAAAGAAAGAAAAGATATCTCTTTTCGAACTTTATTCTTTTTCTTTTCGTGTTTCACTTTGAAAATGAAGAATAAGGGGGAGGATGAAGGTGTTTATATAGGCTCGTGGAGGCCATAAACTTGTCCAAGGAACAATGGGACTCTTTTCCACGATTGCGAGTGACAAAAACTCAAAAGTTTTTGTATTTCTAAATAAATAAATAAAATTTTGTTTTCGACTGAGAGGTCGGCGTCGGACCGGCTGAATCACCGAGCGGCGGCTCCATTGGCTGCACTGAGTCAATAAACCATTAGCCAGCCACACGATTATATAGACCGTCAGAGTAAATAAATATGCACCACTTATACGATAAAATATCTAGCAAATATGGTTCTTAAGATTATTTTTTTAAAATAAATTAATACATTGAAACAAAATTTTTCTGCCAAGTATTTCAACAAATCTGGAAATATGAAAACGAAGTATTAGAAATATACAATTTCCTGTGGCCTCTAAGAACAAGAGGGATACTATAAGAGTCCTTCTTGATGATAGAGGTAATAGGCTTGAAACTTTTGATGCTATGGTTAATGAAGTCGCTTCTTTTTACATCAAGTTACTTGGTACTGCTGACCCTTTGATCAAGGAAATGAATCCTTCCATTCTTCAAGAACTCCTTAACTATTCTTTTTCCCCTGAAGCTACTCCCTCTCTTGTTAAGGAAGCCTCTGCTGATGAAATTAAGAATGCTTTATTCAATCAAGGCAATGAAAAAGCCCCTGGTCCGGATGAATTCTCTTCTTTTTTCTTTAAGAATTGTTGGTCAATAGTGGGAGAAGACATTATTAATGCAGTAAATTATTTTTTCAGCAATAATTATATTCACCCAACTTTCAATTCCACTATTATTGCTCTTGTCCCCAAAGTTCCTAATCCTTGCAATGTTAAAGACTTCAGGCCAATCTCATGTTGTTCAATCATCTACAAGATTATTTCTAAAATCATTGTCACTAGATTGACTGAATACCTGCCTGATATTATCTCTTTAAACTAGTCTGCCTTTATCCGAGGTCGTGATATCATCGATAATGCTCTTCTTGCTCAGGAGATAGTGAAAGGATATGGTAGGAAATCCATCTCTCCAAGATGCTTAATGAAGATTGATCTTCATAAACTTTCGACTCATTAGACTTCGTTATTCAAGGAGACCCATGTGCATTTCCTCTGTTCTGTGCTCTTGAGCATTGGAAATTCTTATTAGCAATCCTTAAAGGCCTCCATCTTCCTCAAAAATTTATTGACTGGATACAAATCTGTTTCTCTCAAGCCAAGTACTCTATTGCTTTTAATGGTACTTTAATAGGCTATTTCAAAGGGGCCAGAGGTATAAGAAAAGGGGATCCTTTATCCCCTTATCTTTTCGTTCTAGCAATGAATGTCCTCTCCAAAATGCTAAATATTGCAGCTTCCAAAGGAGTCTTTGCTTTTCACCCAAAATGCAAGAAAATTGGGTTAACTCATCTCTCTTTTGCAGATGATTTACTGATTTTCTGCAAAGGAAATAAGGATTCAGTAGCTGGAGTATTGAGTGTTCTCCATCAATTTTACAAAGTTTATGGACTTCACTTAAATCCCTCCAAATGTGAGATCTTCTCAGCGGGTATCTCTCCTAGGGAAATTGAGAACTTTAAAATCATATCTGGCTTTAAAACAGGTTGCCTGCCTATTAGGTACCTAGGAATACCTCTTGTTACTCGAAAACTTTCTCTGAAAGACTGTGAACCTCTCCTTGATAAAATCAGGCAAAGGCTTCACCACTGGTCTACAAGAAACTTAAGTTATGCTGGCAGACTTGAGCTAATTAGATCAGTTCTTTTTAGTGTCAGTAATTTATGGTGTAGACAATTAATCCTCCTAGCTACTGTCTTAAAATCAGTGGATCAATTATGGTCAAGGTTCTTTTGGAAAGGAGCGAACAAATCAGCTGCTGGAGCTAGAGTTAGTTGGGACCAAATTTGTCAGTTAAAATCTGAAGGTGGATTAGGTCTGAAAAACACTACCACTTGGAACAAAGCTTGCATTATGAGCCTTATTAGAAAGATCCTAGCTGGAAATGGTTCGCTCTGGGTTGCTTGGCTAAATAGCTATGTTTTCAAGGACCAAAACTTCTGGCAGTTTAACATTGGATCTAATATCAGCTGGAATGTTAAAAGAATTCTCAAAATGAGAAATTCAGCATTCCCTCTTTTTTCTTCTGGGTTTCATCAGGTGAAGGAAATTTGGGGGAAAATCAGATTGCAAGGTCAAAAAGTGTACTGGCACCGTTTAGTATGGTACCCTATGCACCTTCCAAAGCATAGTTTGATTTCTTGGATGGCCATCTTAAACAGGTTACCAACTTGTGATCGCTTGCAACGCATGGGATTAGTCACTGCTGGTCTGTGCGTCAACTGCAGGGTTTTCAACAAAAGCAGGGATCACTTGTTCTCTCAATGCCCCTTGTCTATTGAACTCTGGAAATATGTTATTGGTTTGAATGGTATGAACTACTCTGCAATGACTTGAGAAGAAATGGTCTCTCATGCAAGCTCTATGTGGAAAGGGAAGTCTTTAATTACCACTATTCTGAAAATTTCTTGGAATGCTTATATCTACTTTTTGTGGCAAGAACGTAACCGCATACTGTTTCAAGGAAGATCTCGAACAATTGACAACTCGCTCAAGGAAATCATTGAAATAGTTAGTATAAGACTTAGTGGAAAAACTATAAATAGACTTGATTGCACTAACTTCCATCTTTGTAATGCTTGGAGTATAGTTTAACCATGTTCCTTTGTTTGTTTGTAATACTCCTTGTTTTGATTGGTGATTGGTTGTAAATGTACTTTGTTCTTTGATAATAAAATTATGATTTATCCAAAAAAAAATATACAATTTCCTGCAAAACAGAAAAAGGGCAAATAAAAATAAGAAGACCGAATTTGCTCAATAAGTACTATTTATTGGGTATGCTTAATTGTTGCCTATCTGCACGGATTAAGATTTGTTTAGTTACAATCTTAGTTTTTCTTATTTAATAAAATGTTCTGTTTGAATTTAAGGGGACTTAATTGGTCCTTCCTTTTATTAAGGGGATTTATGCACTCTGTATGAAAGTAGACGGACTGCTTTCACCCTATTATTTCTATCTACCTCATTGACTACCTGCTAACATTTGTCATAAATTACCATAACAAAAAAGAAAAAGAATCTTTATTTACTACATTATTTGAATAAAAGAAAAGGAAATGCATTAACTACACTTTTCTTCCTTTGTCATTTTAATTTCGGATTTCTCAATAGAAAATATAATATAACATCACACATTTACAGGCATTTCCTTCGAGAACTAAATTTTCAATTTTTTTAAAATTATATTTAATATTTAGTTTTTGTTTTAATTTAGTACTCTACCATTAAAACCTTAATGCATATAGTATCTAAATAATCTGTTTTGATCCGTTTTAGTATTTAAGCTTTCATTTTTTTTTAAAAATTTAACATTAAATTTTGAATTAGATACTAAAATAAAATAAAAACTAAACTTTAAGTATGATTTAAAAAAAATTAAAAGTTTAGATACTAAAATGAACCAAAAAATAATAATTTAAATACAAAATACGTAATTTACCCTAATTTATTTCGTTTTAAAAATATTTTTCCATGTAAGAGATTATTTTCTATTAAAAACAATGAACTAACCAAGATTTTCTTTCATTAAGATGTTATCATAATCACTGATTAATATATTTTGAATACTGATCCCTTCCCTCGATTGGTCGTGGTTTACCATTTTCTCATATATTGACAATTTTGTTTTCATTCGTAAGGTAAAGTAAAAACTCTATTCCATTAATTTTGTATGGTTAATTTTTTAACTTTTAATTATAATTATGTTGGATGGTTAAATTCCATCAATACTTACTAGTTGGTTTTTTTTTATTTATTAAATCGGTACAATTTATTTATTATGAAATGTTTTAATTTTTTATAGTTAAGATAACGGTATATTTTCTAAAATATTAACAACTCAATTGCATAATGAAATGACAATAAAACTATTTTTTAAAATTTCTTTTAATCGATCGTTATGTATATTTCACTAATATTTAAATAAATAATTAACCGCTCAAAAAATAAATAATTAAGAAAAAATATCAGTATATTAAAATTGTTTGAAAAAAATTAATTATTTGTAAATAAAAATTAAAATAGTTATAAAAAAGTCCAACATAATGTCACATATTTGGAAAATATACTAAAAGGTAATGGTCTAAAAGTAAAACCTTTTGGTATAGATTTTTCTTTACCATTTCTTACCAAAATATCTAAAAATCAATTATCAATCTTTGTGACTGAAATTATCCATAAAATATTCCAAAATTACCGTAATACATTTTATTTTAAAATAATAAATTATCATTATCATCTTGCAAATTGGGTACGGAATTTTGGGTTTTCCCCCTTCAAAAGATATATGTAATTGCTGATGTAGCGCAAGCAGAATTGAAGAATTATTACAGCCCGACTTTTGAAAAATTAAAACGGAATTAATTGACGAAATAATTTTTTGTTTCAAATAATAAATTTGTATGTCAACAGTTTTTTTAATTTAAAAAATCATTTGAGATAGAAAAAAGAGATTCAATAATTTTGTTAGAAAAAATAGACTTTCTATATCCTTAAGCCAATATAATAATTTCATTTTTATGTATAATATTAGTTACGTTATAATTAGTGCTTTAAGTAAAAAACAATAAGTGTGGTCAAATTGATGGAGCATTTTGCTTTGTTTTCAAATATAATACAATTGTGTATTTGAATTTGCATTGTCAGTCTCATCATTCCAGTAGATAAGTAGCATTGACATCTTATTTGTTTAGGGCTTGAACTTCATTTTTTCGTAATTATAAAAGAAATAATAACTTGGATTAATATTATTTTAGATAAAGAATGTAATTTATAAAGAGCTCATTAAAGTCTTTAATAAAACAATATTTTTTTTTATAAATTAAAGTATTTATATAATTTTACTAATATATTTTTAAATTTTATCAACAAATAATATACCATTTCATTTTAACAAAGTATCATTCATTTTTTTTAACTAATTTTACATTAATAGATATATAAATTAAAGATAGTGATGAATTCAAAAATATTTTTAAGGATAGACACATAAATATTAACAACACAATAGTTATGCAAGTGAGTAGACACAAATAAAATTTCAGAATGGTTAAAATCAATAAAATAAAAAGCTTACAAAGGTAAATTTAGAATTAGATGTCAACATATGCTTACCTAAACTACACTTAGATATGTCATTGAATAAAGATATAATATAAACTGAATTTCACTACATATGAAAACATTTTCATATAAAAATGTATTAAAAAGTGAGTATAGATAAAATAATTTATTTTTTGATTAATTTGGGTAAGTACAAAACATTATACATTCAAAGATAACTCTCAACTATTTATATTGAACGCTCATATTCTGACATTTTTTGTGCTCGAACCCATGACCATAAAGAATAATAATAATTCTTTTATCACCAAGGATATTTAGTTTTGCAGCATGGAGAAGCCAAAGGGCAGAAAGAGAAAGAAAACATGTGGGCGATTTTAAAGGGTTGATGACCAGCTAAGCGAGTGAGTTAAAAAGCTAAAGGTGACATGAGTTAACAGGTGGGGGAGGGGGAGTTAAACAAAGGGGGCAAATATGCAAATGGGGGACGTTGGCTCTTGGAGGAAGGGATGGGCCATGGGTTGTTTTTGTGTGCTGGGTTCTATCCCGTGTAGGCTGCTGCTGCTGCTGCCTACCAGACAAGAACAGTGTGCCTCAAACTCAAACTTCAATCTCTATGGTCCATACATTGATATTCAGGGCGCCACCTTTTCTTTTGTTTCTCCCCTTTTAAAGGTAAGCCGCGCCTCATGGAATATAAGGGATACTTCTCTTTTAAATATTTATTCAATGAATGCATGCATGTGTTCAAAGGCTCTTGGGTGGTAACTGGTAAAGGTTCTTCACCACGTGTTCAGACCTGATTACCCCTCACAGAACTACATGTATAGGAAGCGAACTCCAATTTCTTTCTTCGTTTACTGTCTTGATGCCCAATGAAGTTTCCATGAACGATCCCGTTAGATATGGTAGTAATGTTATTTATAAATTCATTCATTGCATATTTTTTTTAAAACAAAACATTTTCTCTCAGAAAGAAAGTTAAATAGTATCACAAAAAACAAATAAAACATAGAACAATGTTATGTTATCCATTCCGATTGAATTATAGTAACCAACAACAGCAGCACATTGTTTGGTATTATTCTGCAAATTTGTTAGTCAAATGATTGTTGATCAAGCCATGATATACCGTTTGATTAATGAATCCAACCAAGATTTTGCAGACAACTGTAGAAAGTGCACCAATACTCCCAGGTTATGACTTATTGAATCCTTTTTCCCTTTAATTTCATGCGACCCACCAAAAATGAACTTTTTCAAACCTAAATTATGCTGCCATTACTTTTGGCAATCCAAATAGCATTAAAATAAACAAATTAGGCAGATAACCCAAGCTAAGATATCGAACATATATAATTAATGTCACAAATTTATTATAAATGTTTATGGATACACTAAGCAATCAAATTATTATAAAATATTAAAGATATATGATTTGTTATTTTTTGTTTGACGTTAGTTGCTGTAGTATCAACATAATACTTAACGATGTCGACCTAATAATTTATATGTGAATGGTGACATGACAAAGAAATTGAATTAGGTGCCCAATCACACCATAATCAAAGATTGGTGGCGACTCCTCGAATAACGTTTTATTATTAACAGGTCACTAAATTATTCAAAACGAGATCTTTTAAAAATCAGATTTTAAAAACTAATTTTTTTTGTAAAAAAATTGTTTTGATGGCTTGGCAACTCAGCTAGGGACTTTTTTTCAGGCCGATAGTCAATTAATTAATTGTCTTTGCAAATGAAAATTATAAGTTTGTTCTAATTTGGTTTTTCATCCCTTGTGTGGTTTAAATAAATATTTGCTTGCAATTTAATTAACCACTAAATGTTTTGTTTTCGTTTTTCCTCGTTTGTTTTGTTTTCGTTTTTCCTCACACACTGCACAGCTGCATTTGCATAACACGAGCTAAAACCCCGCTCCGTCCAATTTAAGTATGAGTGAGAAACTATTCCCTCGTGTGGTTTTCACCTCCGTATGCGATAGTGGATCGCTCTTGGGGCTCACGTCTTATGTTCCCCGTGATGGTTTTCACCTCCATATAGACATAAGGAGTGTGTCCCCTCGAATTAAACTCGATCCGAAAGCCTGTAATAGGACAGGTTGAGGGTTTGGCAGCCCAAGAGGGCACCAACAAGGACAATTCGAGAACCTTTTACTTTAGAATCGAACCCAACATATAGTGAACCTAGAACCAGAACATAGGAAAAGCCTAACTGTTGAAAACATTTTTATGTTTCGATATAACAAATAAAGT